ACAATAACTCGCCATTGCCCCCTCCCTCCAGCCCTTGGCAACCACCATTCTATTTTCTATGAACTTGACTGCTCTAGGTACTTCCCTTAAGTGGAATCATACAGTATTTGTCCCTTATTTTTTTTAAATCCTCACCTGAAGATATTTTTTCCATTTTTTTCAGAGAGAGTGGAAGGGAGAGAGAGAGAAAACAAAACAAAACAAAACAAAACATCATGTAAGAGAGACACATCTATTGGTTGCTCCCAGCACTCCCCCGCCCCCAGGCCTAAGGATGGAGCCTGCATGTATGTGCCCTTGACCAGAATCAAACCCAAGACCAGACCCTTTAGTCCGTGGGCCAACACTTTAACCACTGAACCAAAGCAGCTGTGGCCTATTTGTCCTTTTGTGATTGGCTTATTCCACTTAGCATAATGTCTTCAGGGTTTATCCATGTCTGGAGCTTGTCAGAATTGCCTTCCCTTTAAAAGCTGAATAACATTCCGTCATATGTATATACCACATTTTGTTGGGTTCCTTCCATGCTTTAGCTATTATGAATAGTGCTGCTATGAACCTGAGGATAGAAAGATTCATCCTCATAGCCAGCATTCATGCCAGGCACGCAGCTCCCAGCTCCCAGCTTAGCCATATTATTTTCTAAAGGCATGCCACAATAAACATTATAAAATGCACAGTTAAAGGAAGTTCTCAATAAGTTTTCTCTAACATATCGAGTCTCTAGTTGGCTCCTCTTTTAACAAAAAGGAATATTCTGTTGCTGAGAGTGAAATATCTGTTTCATTTAGTGTCTCTGGGACACTACACCAATACAAATGCCAGAGCCAAGGCATTAATTTGTGAAGCTCAAGTACTGAGCTTGAGATCACCCTCTTCCCTGATACCATTTCTATGAACCCCCAAAAAAGCTGTATCAGGAGAGCAAGAGTCTGTCATTCAGTAAAACACAGGCCAAGGAATTCATGTTATAGAAACGTGTGTTTTCAGTAAGGGCACTCCAAATTATACTGTGTACTGTAATAGGACAATGCTGGAAAAGATACACCTTTATATAATAACAATGTATAAAAGAAGGTATAATTATTGGTATTGCACCTTTGTGTTAACAGCAAGCTATTATATGCATTCATGTTTCCTACTCTGTGCCAGCCGTGTATCTAAGTGCTCTTTCCCAGGCCCTTCCTCCCATCCCACCCCCCCCACACACACACTTTTGTTTCTTAAACTCTATGGGGGAGGCGTTATTACCACCATACCAGTGTACAGACAAATGAGGTTAAAAGGAGTGAAATGTGCCATCCGAGGTTACACAGCCAGTAAAGAGGTAGCAGACCTGGGATTAGAAACCAGGTGTCTGGACCCCAGGGTTTATACACTTAAGTTGCTGTGTCTTTCTGCCCCCTGAATTTGGGGGTTTCGCCCATACAAGTTCATCACCATTTTGGAAATGAACCTGACAAGAGCGGAGTGATTTTTTTCCAAGGAAATTATCCTTTGAAATTTTCTCCTGATAGGCTTTTTTTTCTTTCTTTCTTCATTTAAGTTATATTGTACTTATTAGGTCTTTTCTTTTTCCCTCAACATTCTCTCTTGTTTCTCTTTTGGCGATATTTACTGCATTTTACAAGTACCATCAATATGCATAATTTGGATAGCATGCAGCTATTGTTTTTTTCCTCCTTTTTAAAAATAAAGTTAAACCCCAAATTTATGCAGACCCAAAGCCAGTTTACATAAATTTTCCGTGGAGATTTAAAAAACAATTTAAATTGTTTTCAGTTTTTTGGGGTTTTTTTTCATCTTAAATCACTTACGTGGAGGAAAGTTGATTCTTTGCCTATTATATTCACCAACCAAGAGTGGAAGGGAAAAATAAGACCTGCTATAATTTAAATTGTATGCTCAGGGTTTGTTGGGAGTTAGGTAAGAGACGTGCTCTGAGAAAGTATAAACGTTGATTGCCTTTTTACAGATATTGCTGGACAACAAATTTACAAAAAGCCTGCTATAATTTAGTCCTGATTATAGCCATTTCTTTATTCCTGGTGATTTCACAAATAGACTGAGACAATTACTGTTTACTTTTCTATCCCTGTTTTATTAGGGCTTTATAAGCTGAAACAAAAGACAAGCACTAAAAATCTCTGTGACTTCATCCTTCCCACTCACATTAAATTGTTCTTCCACAATTGGATTTTAAGATAAAAATCATCCGCCTGCCCCCACCAAAGTTACATTTCATTTTTGTTCTAGAAGACTGGGTGCTTTCTCTGCATGTAAAAGGGGCATCCACACAAGTTTTGTGAACCACAAATAATTTTTTTCCCCCAAGATGGGTTAATGCTTCTACTTTTGGAAACAGTTTAAAAGGTTTTAAACTTTTAAATGGCAATTTCTCTTTCAAATAAAAATAATGATAAATGACTTTTAAAGTAACCCATTTCTGTATTTGGGCACTTCCTGTCTTTAGCACCATGTCTGGTCAAAGCCTCAGTCTCCAGATCCATGGGTGGAACTGTCCTGAACCCTGGCACCCAGTGGAGCCTCTGTTGATCGGTGTCTTCTTTCCCCTCGGGTTCAGGCTCTGAGGGCAAAGTCCCAAGTGGCAGATAAGGGGACCCTAGACCTGAGACTGCCAAAGGAAGACCTAGGGGAGGGAGGCTTTACTTAATAACATAAGGCAGAATCAGTTCGCTTAAAGTTGGGGACTCCCTCTGCAGAGGCCACCGCACCTCTGAAGACAACTTCAGATTGGAGACCATCCCCAGGGCAACCTTGGGAGCCATGTGACCATGTGCTGAAGGGCCCCGAGTCCCTGGGTCACCATGAGACCACTGACAGGGCTCTGGGAATGTCAGTCAGCAAATCCACGATGACTGACGCCGCGTGCTTGGACAATGCCTAAATGCCCCCTTCCCCTTTGACAGCCTGTCGCAGGGGGGAGGAAGGGAAGGACTCCTGCTGCAGGGGTCTCTGACCTTCACCTCTGACCCTGAGGTGGCAGGCCCAGCTTCTGAGGGGCATGCGCGCCTTTGGGGAGCAAGCAAGCCACCGGGGTTACCAGGTTGAAACTCCGCCGCAGGTGTGACCTGGGCACTGCCCCTTTCAGCAGACCCTGGCCACACCTCTTTCACCAGAGGGGTGTCACGCCGTATCCGGGAGTTCGCTCCCTGGGCGCGCAGGGGCGGCGGACCCCTGGGAGCCCGCCCACAGCCGGCGCGGGTGGCGCGGTCTCTCCGGGACACGCGGGGCGGGGCNNNCGCGGGGCGCCCTGTGCGCTTTGAGGGCTGCATCTGACTTTCGCCCCTCGGGCTTCTGCTCTGCCCACCTGCTGTCCTGGGCCACCTTACAGCCTTGGCGTCCTTCAGTTTTCCTTGGTGCCCAGGAGCTTGCTGCCTCATTTGCTTTAAGACCCTCGGTTCTGGTTTTTATTTGTTTGTTTGCGCCTTTGTTTCCTGCTGACGTCCTGCTCCTGGAGGTCCCTTTAATTTAGCGTAGGAAACTTTTCCTGGACGGGGCAGGTATCCCAGCTGCACTTGGACGCGAATTATCCGAAAAGGGTTCAGCTCCAAACTGCACGATTTCCACCCGCCCCGCCCCCCGCCGGAATATTGGTGGGTGGGCACTTTATCCCCACAGGGAAGCAGCACCTCAAGTCTCGTGGTGATACTTTTGCACACCTGTTAGAATCCGCTTTTGCTGCGGTGAACGAGACCCCTGCGGGGAGAATAGCGCCCCTCCCACTTCTTTATCCGCGACAAAGAAAAGTTTAAAAGACAATGACGTTAAAACAAAATAGGCTCCACCGAAGACTGGACACTGCGTTTCCCCGGCCAGAGCTGAAACACGCAGACGCCGGGCAGGAGCCGCGCCGCGCGCAGCGGACCCGCGCGGAGCAGCGCAGAGCGACCTTGGAGAGGCGGCGGGAACCCCGCGGACAGTCCCGCAGCCCGGCAGAAGGGGCGGGGCATAA